TAGAAGTAAACACTGTGAAAACTTAAGTATATGCTGCTGTCTCATCACCAAAATGGAGGGCAAAATCATGACATAAAGATAGGAAACATATGTTTCTAAAATGTGGCACAGTTCAGATATTTGAGAACAATGATAACAGATTGAAACATGATCCAGGAGGAAATTAAGAGGAGACTGAACTCGGGTAATGCTTGCTACCATTCAGTCCAGAACTTTTTGTCTTCTTGTCTCCTGTCCAAAAACATCAAAATTAGAATATACAAAACTATAATTTTGCCTGTGGTTCTATATGGGTGTGAAACTTGGTCTCTGACATTAAGGGAGAAACACAGACTGAGGGTGTTTGAGAACAGGGCGTTGAGGTGAATATTTGGACCGAAGAGTGATGAAGTGACAGGAGGTTGGAGAAAACTGCATAATGAGGAGCTTCATAACTTGTACTCTTCTCCAAGTATAATTAGAATTATCAAGTCAAGGAGGATGAGATGGGCAGGGCATGTAGCATGAATGGGGAGAAGAGGAATGCATATAGGATGCTGGTGGAAAAGCCAGAAGAAAAGAGACCATTAGGAAGACAAAGACGTTGGGGGGAGCATAATAGTAAAATGGATCTTAGAGAGATAGCATGTGGTGGTATGGATTGGAATGATCTGGCTCAGGATAGGGACCAGTGGAGGGCTCTTGTGAACACGGTAATGAACCTTCGGGTGCCATAAAATGCTGGGCAATTGAGTAGCTGCAGAACTGGCAGCTCCTCCAGAAGGGCTCAGCTCCATGAGTAAGCAAGTAAGTAAACTTTAAATATTGATAAAATAAATAAAATATCTCCCTCTTCATTATAGGACGTTCAAAGAAATTCTTCTACAGCAGTATCCCTTCTTACCAATTTGCTAAGCACACTGAACAATAAAATATCAGTCAGGGGTATCCCATGACTTAATTGTTCACGATAATGGTTGCTTCATTATACGAATATTATGCTGACACTGCACTTTGTCTGATACAAAAACAAAAAAAAAAAATTGGGGGGCTAGACTCAACTTCCATCTTGATCCGACTGGCTATCATGCTGTAAGACTTATTGTTAAGATTTGTGGTGACAGATGACATCAAACTTAGGACATGGAATACTGACTAGAACAGTAACAATGAACCACCCAGGCAACCAAGACCGGATGTTGCAGTAATCATCTAATGAAAGAGGGTACAGTAGCTGTCTCCCAAAATGCAGTTTACATAAAATACACTTCAGACAATAAACAATGTCAACATAATATTTGTACAGCAACATATTTTGTTGTAAGATTTAAAGATTTCTGATGATGGCATGACACAATGTATACAACTACTATTTTGGATTTTTTCAATTGTTCTAGCTTAATAAAACCACCATCTTTCAGAAATTGATTCTACTTGTTTTTTGGTGAACAAAACCTACTCCAGAGGGTTCCTGAGTAGAGACACTGGCCCACAAGGAGAGAGCAAATCTTCTGAGAGGCCTGGCAGAATAGCCTTTGTGCCTGAAGGTTCAAACAGAATCAATTTCTGAAATGGAGTGATTTCAATAAACTCAGACAGTGGGCAAAGTCCAAAATAACAGGCTTTAACAACATAATTTGTTGTTTTACACAATTCAGAGAATAGAAAATTATTTATTTACTATTAAGTAGTACAGCTGGGATAGTGCAGTCATAATAGTGACTGGCTACAGGCTGGATGACCAAGAGGTCAGAGTTCGAGTCCTGGTAGCGTCAAGAATTTTCTGTTCTTCGCAGTGTCCAAACCAGCTCTGAGGCCCACTCAGCCTCCTCTCCAATGGGTACTGATGGATATTTCCTAAGAGGTAAAGCAGCCAGAGACTGAAGCTAACCACTCATCTCTAACTAGTGCTGAGGTCAAGAAAACGTCCACTCCCCATATATCTTCATGGTGTGGCTCTTACTCAGGCACAGGGACAACTTTACCTTACCTTTGCTTATTAAGTAGTTTTAAAGTCAATAGGAATTATAAATGCTTACTTGTTATACCTCACTTCAGTACACGATATGTAATGCTTGTCTACTTAATAACCATTCAGGAAATTGTTACTCCTCACAACTGTTAAATATATTAACAAATGTCAGTAGAGAACATAATATGGATAAACTGTTGACAATTTTGTGTATCATACGTATACAAATACAACACAAAATATATTTCTATAGACAAGAATACACACTGTGTAAATAGGCTATGAGGCACTGAAAAATTCCTGGTAGATGCATGTGGTCACAAGCAATGCCTCTGACAAATGCCATTCAAGGCAACAGCAGTTACGGACAGCTTTGACTGCACTATGCAATTACAGTTAGAGGATTTTTTAAAAGTAAAAATGTCAGTAGACTGCCAGTTCACACAATCATAGCACAGTCTTATCACACACAATATTCATCATGGCCCGAACCTCTTGCTGCTACAATACTTAATCTTCAAAAGATGCATAAACACCAAACATCCATAACACACACAATGACTGCTTCATTAGAGGCCACTGCAGGCAGAAACTGATGGCTAACTACATGAGCTATAGCATGGCCCCACACCCTGAGATGTGCCCCAGACTTCAGTACAGGAAAAGTTCATCAGCAACATAAAATCTAGACGACTGACTCATGTGCATAAGCTGTCCATTACTGTTGTCTGTGTATGTTCTGTCATAACATACAGTACACAGTAAAGATAACTACTTCATCTGACTACTTTGAAAAATATATGCTGCAAAAATATAAACTATTACAAAGTAAGCAACATCAAATGTATTTGCAAAAGTTCCTTGAAAATGCAACTATATACACAGAAGCTTCCGTACTAATGCCACATTTCCTCCATAGCAGGAGGCATGATTCACTGAACCCATCAGGTTTCAATACTGATAAATGGTCTCAAAAATCAACAATAAAATACCAACACTAACAGAACAATGTGTAACAAGCATATACAGTATGAAATAATACAGCGATTCTGCAAGCAAAAATATTATACAGCACATACACATTGAATATGCGCACACAACTGTGCACTTTCTCTCATCTGCTCACAAACACTAACACACATAACACATATGTAAGTACAATATGTACATAGTGAGGATGGTTTTGTGCCAGAACCCACTGCATGAGGTATCCACCCCCTATGGCACTCAGGAAGAAATAATTCAAGATTCTGAAAATCTGTCTCTGGTCAGCAAAGAATTCAATTCCAAAGCCTGACTGCTAAACATACAAGTATACACATTACTTCAAACCCTTCCACATCTGAGAAGCACAGGTCAGTTTTCTTCAGCTCATTTTGAGTCATTACATTATTCAGAATGCCACCTTCTGGAATGTGGCGCCATGTAGATATTGTGCAAAGCAACGTTTCGGAGGAACGTATTGCCTCCATCTTCAGGGGATAATAATCCGCAATACGTTCCTCCGAAACATCAGTTTACACAAGAACTACACAGCACCACATCCCAGAAGATGGCATTCTTCACAGTCACCACTGTGAAAACCTCAAATCTTATATAAAATTATCCATTTCTTTGAAATAAATATTGAAGATTAATTCAAGAACAGCAAATGATTCAGTTAGCAATCCGCACCTGCCATCAAATGACGTAGATCATGTTCAGCAACAAAATCTGTCCATCAGATACTCTGGGAAATGTGAGAGTAAAGCAAAGAAGAGTATGAATTTCCATGCACTTCACTTTCAGTTTAAACTCTGACGCTGGCATATCACCAACATGAACACTGCAGGTGTCCAGGTATTCCGGGCGTTCAAAAACAAGACGACATTGTGAAATGACACTGGCTTCCTTCGAATACACTATTCTGACACCAAACCATGAACTGAATTATGAACAAGATGATTCAGTCCATGTCAATGCAATTTTAGAATAGAAATTACAAAATTGTCAAATTAGTGGAATATATGGTTCTGCAAGATGAGCCATAAGAATTTACTTCTATTTCCAATTGGCAGTGATGGGAAGACCGAATATTCAATAGTTATCACATTTTTCTCACAAGTAAGAGTTTGTGCTCACAAGTCTGGACCGGTTATATAACCCATAATTTTTCGTAATTAATGTCAAATATGCAGAAACAATCATTTTCAATTATTCATTATGAAACAACACAATTTTGATTGTCAACTGAATTTTCTAGTTGAAATTCCTACATCCCCCTTGACAACACTACCCCTCATGGCAACTTAGAGGGAAAACTAGACATAAATAATTTTCCTGACTAAAAGAAACCTGTTTCTGAAATGCTCTTAAAAAACTCCGCTACTTCAGCTACACAGCTCCCTCTCAAGTGTGTACATAGCAAAGTTGCTACATTAATATGGTTATGAAACAGGAGGTAAAAAAGGTAAAGCTATCCCTGTAACAGGCTGTGGTGGCCCATAGGTTTGTGAGACATCGAGGCTTCCACATTTTCTAGACAATTGGCTCACAGATGGCAGTAAAGTTGTTAGCCTTACGCGCCTGCTGGCCACCCTTTACCCCCAAGAAGATTCCTGGTACTCATTTCTGTTAGAGGCTAAGTTGACCACAGGGGCCATAGTGGGGCTGGAACAAATTGAAGAAAAAATCCACTTCATTGGGACTCGAACCCATGACCTTCCAGCTTCCAGTGTAGTGTCTCAACCAACTACACTACTGCATGCCCCCATGAAACAGGAGAATAATCCATTTACACTTTGCGATTTCTGAGAAGATCAGTCTAATTCAGGAATTCTGACCTGACTGCTACAAAGGAGTAACTGAATGAAAGCAAGAAGTAAAATATATGTTCCAGCCCTGTCTCATATCATACAACTCCACAACCATTATCACATGGAGCATTTACTGTTTTGGCTTGCAATAAAGTGAAAAATTGACAAATGTAATTATATTCAGTGGGAATATTCCAAAACTCCAAAATGTAATCTTCCTGAACAGTGTTTTACATATATATATATATATCATCACAAATATGAAGTTCACTGAAAGTTATGAATCTGTTGCTGTCCCATTTTAGTGGCATCTGGAGGCAAGACCAGAATATTACAGATATATACACGCTGTCTCACAGCAGCTGCAGGACGCAGCCCTGTGCTTGCTGATCCCACTTCCGGTATTTTCAACGCAACCTTACACAACAATTAATATGATAAGAGACATCATTTCAATACAATACACAGTTGTATCTATCATTGCAAATTGAAGATTCAGTGAAAAAGCACATCGGTGTTAATAAAATATTCTTAAAATATACTCATGTATCTTGTTTCCATGTAGGATATAAACTCCAAGGCTTTCTAGATGTACGAGGTGGAGTGTGTTCAGTTGTCATCATAGGATGGTGCACTAAAACAAGAAAAAGTGATAAACAAAGGAAGTGCATTTTGTGTAGCACTGTTCAGCTATTCTATACTGAAAATATTTCTGGATTCCACTGCATGATTGCTGTAAACCCTCACTAATCTGGATTAACTGATAATCAGAATTACTGAAGCAAACAGTAGACCTAAAAAAAAGCATACAAACAAAAAAAAAAATAAATGGAAAATTTAATGATATAACTAGTGCTGATGAAAATAAATAACGAATTATCACACTACAGCCTTTATTTAAAAACTATAAAGAGATAATACATTTATTTGCCGATATAAGACTCAGAAGTTGTACTTATTTTGAATGTGATAATGCAGGTTTGAAGAAACCATGAAGCTTTTTCTGAACAGACAAGTGACCCATCTGCCTTCCTAAATGTCATGTGCCTTTTAAAATATCTACTCAACTGTGAACACTATTTTCCATTTTTCATATTTCAATGCAGATTATCCAACATTTTGATTAACTGTAACCAGATTAGCAAGGGTTTACTGCAATAATTATTTATGAAATATTTAATGAAGTTGTCATTAACTCTGACTATAAAGGGACAAGTGAAAGGATGATCAATGAATAATGACTTAGACAAAATGTTGGTATAAGCAGTCATGACCCATCTAAGGTTCTGTTCCAGTATTTGATACGAGGTGCTGAGTAAAACCATAAATAATTTGTATAATAATCAGTCTTAGGACTGAGGTTTGATTCTGGAATCTTTCAAATATAAAACAGGTATGCCATTTACTTGACTGCAGAATTCTGTATGAGTATGTGAAAAGCATCATATCTACCTTGCAGATGGGAGCAGTATGTACCTTCAAAACCTTGGTACCCACCTAGCACACTACAAGACATCAGAACATAGTGAAAACCCCAAACTTCATTCAAAAAGCAGCATGAAGAACAGAAATAAATACTAGACTTCTAATGTGGCTTGAATATGGAATATATTTGATGCTGGAAAGGTGTTTGTCATAATGGTGTAAATTTTGATGTTTAGGGATAACAAGAAGTTCTGAGAAGAATTAGTCACCTACTTTCCTTTGATATGACATGGACCACACAGAAAGTTAAAAAGAATTAGGGGTGACAGATACCCAGGCAGCAAGATGGTCTCATAAGCCTCATTTCAGTTTAAAAAAAAGTATGCTAAAAACAAACAAAACAAAGTGTATTATTCTGCATATGTCTATACAATCCAAAATTTGAAAGAAAATTCTAAGGACTGACAATAACACTAACACTACACTATGACATCATTAAAACTGCACGAGCTCAACCCCAAGATAGTTTTGTGGGCTATTTTACACTCACATCCTTCGTTCTGGAAAACTGACTGAAAACTGAAAGTCAACTCAATATCAGCCCAGTCATTCTCTTGTCCCAAGTGAACACATCTGTACATGAAACAGCAAACAATGCACTTACTGATTCCTTTTTGTTTCGGTCCCCTGACGCAGGTTGGGCGTGAGCATAGGGGCGGGTATGGCCATGTGACACTGCTGCAACAGGGACTGGGCTCTGTGCACGTTGCCGTTCATCTTCATGGAGATGATGCGCCAACTCTTCACTAGAAACAAAACAGAATAGCTCTAAGCTGTATCAAACACATTTCTTGGTTCACTGTACTTAGGACCTGCGAGATAAATGGAAAGTTGCTCCACAAAGCAGGAAAGTACGCTAATTATCATGGCATGCAGCACAATTAAGGATTAGTGTATTTATGACAACAAATTAAGAACAAGAAAACTGGTGATAAGTAACACAGTGAACAATTAAATTACTGTATTTCCTACTCGTGTGTTACAACACATGTCAGCAATAATTTTCAGTACACATCTGTCAAAAAGCATATAATTTTGCATTTAATAATGTTGTTTTTTGTATCAGCACCAGCAAAAGGACAACATAAGAAATCATTTCCTTTTCTTTTACAAAGATTCTGATATTCAGCACCTTACAGCTTAATTGAAAGAGTTCAAAAGAAAATACACACATGGAACACATTACATGCCTTCCTTCACAGTGTCGCATTCAAACCACAGAGATGTAAACGGAACAGGGAACAACTAGAGGGTCAATGAACCCAAAATGTGGCTATAACCATGATAAAACGCTTAAGGTTCTCACAGCAGTCACTATGAAGATTACTACCCTCCAGGATGTGACACCGCGCAGTCCGGTAGGAGTTCACCAACAAAAGTTCTGAAGAATGCACTGCCTCCATCTTCAGGGAGAATAGTAAGACAAGCACATAACCGCCAAGAAGCAGGTGACATGCACAAAATTCACGGGACCACGAGCTGTCACACAACAGCATCCTCATGTCGCTTGTTCTTGCTTCATTCAACTGTGCTTTCAATAGCTCAGGGCACACAGTAGCCTATTTGGTTGAGGCACTATGCTACAAGCCAGAAGGTTGTGGTTTTGAATCCTGATGAGGTCACTACATTTTTCAATTGATCTAAACTTTCCAGCTACACTATAGCGATGATGTCAACTCAGCCTCTGACAGAAATGAGTACCAGGAATCTTCCTGGAGGGTAAAGGGATGCCAGCGTGTAAGGCTGACCTAGGGCTGCACCATAGCTCAAGCGGTTAGTCGCTGGCTTCCCACCGCGGCAGCCCGCGTTTGATCCTGGGTTTGGTCAAGTGGGATTTGTGGTGGACAAAGTGGCGCTGGGGCGGATTTTCTCCGAGTACTTCGGTTTCCCTTGCCAATCTTCATTCTACCAAATTCTCCATCTTCATAATCACCCGGGGCAGGTACAATAGGCCAATCAGTGGCCACTGTGCTGAGTGGACCCAGTTGGACTCCACCCCCCACTAAGTGGAAAAAGGCTGACCTCACCATCATTTGTGAGCTGACTGTCTTGAAAATGTTGACGCCTCAGTGTCTCATAATCCTACGGGGATCCACGGCCTGTTACAGGGATATCATTACCTTTCACATTTCAATAGCTCAGGCTACACAGCATCAAATGGCACAGTGATCAGTAGACAATGAAATAGAAAGAACATTGAAAGATGTGCTTGTGGTCTACTTTGCAATATCATCCTGGCATGTGCCTGAGGTGCTGAAGAATACTGTGAAAACCTCAAACAGGATGCCAGGTCTCCAGGCCAAGATATGAACTATGGACAAAGCAGGGGTGCTACAATCTTGATCACAACATTCAGTCTATAAATACCATGTACAAGGAACACCTTAAATGAGGGTTAAAACAATGTGGGTCCAAACGGTACAAAAATTTCCTATCAGCACACTCCTCACAAAGCTATTGCTGGCCTCAACTGCCTTACTGACGTCTGTGCCTAGCTTTCCTTGTCCTGTCACTTCTACTGTCATGGGTGAGGAAGCCGACTGAAGTCCTGGACCATCTCATTTTATTTGGTCCATGTGTCATAACAGACTGACAAGTCATTCGTGGTACTGTTAAGAGTCTTCAGTTACTTTTTCCTTTGCAGTCACTTTGCATTCAACGCAATGAGAACAGTGAACTGCTGGAATCACGAAGCAAACATAATGACATGTGCAGACGTGCACGTTAAGCACAAAGGTTGTATGGTCAGTACCAACCTCCCCTTTGGCAAGAGAATTGTTTGGCTTTGGAATCAGCTAAACTGCATTGCATTGCATTTAAACTCATGACTTGTGGGAAAAGTTATCCTGAGCAGAAGTTGAGATTAACTATTGCCATAAAAACATTTTCTGCAGGCACATTACGGTAACTTACAAATTCATGTTATGGCATGCTGAAAATGAGCTTGAAAGTGTCAAGAGACGGTAGGACAGTTTGAACTCCCTTGCAATGCCACACACCATAAGCTATATGCACAAGACAGAGAGCAACCAGTTACAAAACATCTCTCGGTCATATGAGCTGAAATGTTAAAATGTGTTATGCGCGCAGCGAAGGTGAACTCTGCAGGAAGGAGAGGAAATGGAATTTTACAGCATGTGTGCCACTTGCTAATCACACACATCTGATGCCTAAATGCAAGCTATCACACTAAGCATACACACAAACCCACCCCTGCACAAGTACTTGCCTTACACACAACCAATTACCACTACTACATGCTTAGATAAAAGTGGTCACTTCTTTACACCACTAAACCCATGACAAAAATTTACATCCACACCAGCAACATAAAGAAAAGCGAATATTACAGGAAAGTTTAGAAAACAGGATAATTTTAATCCCAGCATATCAGAGTGACTGCTAGAAAATACAAATGTACAGAAATTCAATCAGCAACACTTTTAGGTCATTTCGGGTAGTGGGTCCATACATTAGCCAGTATTTTACTGTAAGAATTTGAACATCAATGCAATATTTCACCATACGTAGCAAACACATCATTTTGTAATTCATGTCAATACATGTCCACAGCACTGCTGTTGTTTCATAATTTCTTTCAAAGAGGAAACTAATGTTACAGCACTCAGTACATTTGGCGGGCGAGTCCATGTACAACTCAGCACTATAAAGTCCAAGCTAATGACTGTCATTAAATATACAAAGAAATGTGTATGGCATGTCTCCTGTATAGTCCTTTCTTAACAGTGAAATGGTTAACACAACACCAAACTGTTAAAATACAGAAGTGTTCAAAATTACTAAAACATGACAGTTTATACAAATTAACATAAACTTCTGAAGGAAGATTTAGGACAGTCTCTTGATACTGCTGATAAATAAGTTATTGCAACAGAATAAATAGTGATTAATGCTGTCAATTAAAATTGTATTAAAAAAATATCTAAGACAAAGCGAACCACTAACACATTCAATATTCAGTCAATATTTAAGTATAATGTCATACAACTGGGAAAAGAATATAGCAACCATAAGACATCTGCAGAACAAGGAAGAAGCAAAGACAGTCAGTGTATTTCAGAAAGCTATGACACTGTTCTCTCCAAGGCCTGTCAATAATTTGACTGATATTATTAATCAGTATTTATTTTTATTTAATGATTTGTTTACATAAAATTTAGTTACCACAGTTTGCTGACCGTCTTACAGTGTATACACTTTTTCCACCTTATTCTTCACTTCCACACTACATGTTTCAGCACAATGTGCCATCTTCAGGTGTCTTTATGCATGTTAAACTATTGTACTGCATGCCATAATGTCTTCATTCTAAAATGACTAAAATCTGTATTCGTAATATAGGACGATGAATTCTAAATAATAAAACTTTTCAGGATTCATCCTACGTCGCACTCAAACACGCGAATTACGCCAATCCTCTTTTATGTGAGCATTCTTCCTACATATTTGTGTATCGTGTTCTGTGTTGTGTTTTTTTGTTCCTGTTACTGCACACGTTGTATTGCTGGATCTGTGTGTGTGTTTGAGTGCGATGTAGGAAGAATCCTGAAAAGTTTTATTATTTAGAATTCATCGTCCTATATTACGAATACAGATTTTAGTCATTTTAGAATGAAGACATTATGGCATGCAGTACAATACTTTAACGTGCATAAAGACACCTGAGGATGGCACATTAGTGCTGAAACATGTAGTGTGGAAGTGAAGAATAAGGTGAAAAAAGTGTATACACTGTAAGCCGGTCAGCATAAACCATGGACATGAATCAGCGTAACAGGGTGCTAAAATATAACAATGATGATGATGAAAATCAAATTTAACTTTAGTCATTCTGGTCCATCAGACTAATCAATATTATAGAATGAGCTGACTACACCATGCAGTGTGACCCAAATGTATATTTAATATATACTATGATGCACCATACACACCAAATCATTCTATGAAAATCAAATGCCATATTGCTTGGTTCTGTACAGGTAACATGGACATCCGAAAGTAACTAATTTGAAAGATACTGATGTGAATATTTACACTTCTGGTGGTTTACACAGGAAGTGAATTCCTACTTGGAGCACAGAAGGCACGGAGGTTATCCTCATTCAGCCATATTAACATAATTAAATTTTAAGAACCAATAGAAATCATAAGTGAAGAATTATGGATAAGCCCACAATTTCATTTCAAGCGATAGCACAGATCAGCACACTATATTTATGATGTCTAGTTTCAAAACGAGATGATCCCCATGTCATATTGTAACATTTTGTGTTAAGTAAGCTGCATCATTTAAGCCTATCTACAAAACTTAATACAGTGTTCAAGTGCAATAAACAAATTTATTTCATTTGAGCAAAGTCTGAAAAATAGAATAAATATATTTCTACACTTTATCAGTTGAACTGAATTGAATTTATTTACATTCTATAAATCCTAAGTAGGTTAGTACCTTTGGATACAGAACAAGTCAAAAGGTTACATACATAAGTACAGGCAATTTTAGCTTAAAAATTAATATAACTTAATTTTACATCATTCTCTATTTACATTGAAGTATTCATCTAAAGAGTAGAAGGAATGAGCATGTAGATAATTCTTTAACTCTGATTTAAACTTTTTAGTATCATTGCCCAAGTTTTTAATACTTTGTGGCAGATTGTTGAACACTTTTATGCCAGTAAAGTAGACTCCTTTTTGATATACTGATAAAGTTGATGAGGGTAGG